AATTGATAAACCAAGATGTTGAAAAAGTTGTATAATTTTAAAAGTTGTAGTTAATTTATTTGGTCCATCAATTCTAGAATTTGGATGTATCAAAATATTTGTGAAGACCAAAGGTTGTTTTCGAGCTGTTGTAAATGAATACGAGTGCAGGTACCAAGAAGTTCCTGATTGTTGAGATTTTTAATGTAGTTAGAGATATAGTGTTGTAACTAAATATCCCAAATGTTGCGAATATTATAGAGTTGAGGATAAAGAAGAGTTGTTGTTGGCATAGTTCTGCTAAGTTTAGCTTTTTTCTTAACAAGACCAATATAGTGAGTAAGAATTTTCTTGCAGGTGCTTTAACTAAGAACAAGGTTATAAAGTCAATATTCAATTGTTGAGATAATAACAGTATTTATAATATAACATGCAGGTGTATCAGTAATATGTTTAGAATATGCAATTTGTATATAATGAAGAGATTTATTAATAATAACTTTGGTTTGTTTAGAGTACTTGTTATCAAGAGTAAACCAACATCCAAGAAATTTAAAAGGTTCATTAGGTGAGTAAAGCAAAAGGGTATAATTGTTAAAAGTAATAGGTTGGTAATTAGGAGGCAGGTTATTTGTAGTAAGTATAGATTTGGAGGGATTTATTTGAATGTTAGCCATTTTGTAAAATGACTAAGCAATAGACAGAATGTCTGAAAGTTTATTTTGTGAAGATGCAATTCAGAGTGTGTCATCTATGTAAGCAAGAACAGAGCAATAAGCTTCAAGTTTTTCAAAAGTTTTTTCTTTAAGGTTTGTGATCCAAGAGGTTTGGGCAGTGTAGCTAATAAAGTGTAGATGAATATAAGAAATAAGAGGATTGTGGTAGATCCTCTAAAGAAGAGGAGTAATAGTTTCCCTTGGTCTATACCATTATGTACTGGATATGAGGGAGTAAGACCAAGATTGGTAATAACTTGGTTGTGTCTATCTGAAAATAAATTAGTAATTGCATTAATAATTGTAGTTGGCAAGGAAAGATGAGTTAAAGATTTTTGTAGAAGTGTAAGATTCACTGAGTCATAGGCCTTGCTCATATCTTAAGACAATAGCCAAATGTCTTTGTGGTTGCAATTTGTATCTTCAATGAGATTATTAAGAATGTGAATGGGAATAGAGGTACTGTTGCCAGGTAGAGCAACATAATTAAAGGGAGATAAAATAGGGTGTAATATAGTAAAGTTACAACATTATAGCTATAACTTTACTTATTATTTATTATAGTTACGATATGTGACAACTATTATTTAACTTCATTAGGATAATTCTATAGCATTACTAACTTGAACAGGCTATTTGCAAAATTAATATTTATAATATATTATGGATTAAATATAGTATTTCTTTAAATTACATTTTAACTATCACATAGAGGGTGGAATCGATGAGTTTCAAGCATTGTTTTATCACAAATTCTAGAATTTCGAGTATCAGTTGACCGAAAATTCGAATGTTCATTGAGTTTTTCGATATATGTAAAAATTTAACATAACATAGAATTTATTAATTGCTTTATCAATTGTATATTATATATTTATATGCAGTACTTAATTTACAATTTATATGATTTATAATTCGCTAATTTACATGAAATTATAAAACAACCATATCAATATCTATTAATCCTAAATATCAGGAATAATAAAATCAATTGTTTTCATGTTATGCTTTAGAAATATCATTCTATCAAATAACTTTGGATTTAAAAATGTTCTCTTCTCACTCATAACATTTCCTGCATCGAAAAACAAGCGTTCACTTGGTGTACTTGTTGCAAAAATTGCAAGGAATTTTCGTGCCATTTCATATAAAACTGGAAATCGCCATTTTTGTAAAGACCACCATGCTGCAGGATCTGCTTCGAAATCAAGTTCAAGAAGAGCAAGATAATTTGCAACCTCATTAACATCTTGATTTTGAAAATTCGATGAAAAAACAGATTTAATAAAGGTTTTACAGTAAATTTGTTTTTATGTCTATTAGCCATAGAAATAGAATCTGATTCTAATGAAGTAACTTGCTTAGATGAGTGATATCGTTCTTTAAATTCTGCATATGCAATATATAAAGCTTCTTCAGCTTTGTTTCGCTCATTGGTTGATAAAAAATATCTTTTGCATCTTGGGTCTAGCTGACATGCAAGATATACATTTGTATTAGGAGTTGGTCAATAGTGGAGCAAGGCTTTGTAAAGAGATAATTTTATATAATCCAATAATCTACTTGTATTTGTAGGTGTATTAATTTTTATCCGTCATTTTTTTGGTCCTATTATAGTTTCTTCTTCGTTATCTTTATATTTAAGATCATCATCAAATGCAATATCGTTTGAATTAAAATCCAAAGTTGAATGAAAATCTTGAGTAATAGGACATAATTTGACTATAAGTGTATTAATTAATGGATACATCATGCTGATCGTGACATATTCACTACCACTAAAATATTCGGAATATTCATTAAATGGTCCAAGTAAATTAGTTAAATTACTTATTAAGTTCCACTCATTATCAGTTAACATAATCTTTTTAAGGCGATTATAATTTTGATGTGCATCTGGTGTATTGTCTTTGCTTAACATAATTAAGACAATATCAATATAGTCTCGAACTAAAAGGAGTCGTTCCCATGCTAAAAAACTTGAGTTCCATCTAGTTAAAACATCGTATTTTACACGAAGATATTCTTTAGTATCCCAAATCATCTACATAATATAATTTAATAAAATAATTAAATTAAAATTTATAAAATAAAAAAAAATTTTGAGTTTATTTAAAATTTTATTCTTACATTTTCTTCAGGAATTTGTAAGCTTCGCTGTGCATTCTCTAATCTCTCATTTTGTTTGGGACTTATAAAAAAACTTATTAATCATTTCGCACAAGCTATAAATACTTCAGCTGGTAAAAGACCCTTGCCAATCACAAGTTGAAGTGTGTGCGCTGTACAGGGCATTCTACTAACTTCTAGTTTGTTGATGGCGGCCTTTACATTTGCACCATTGTCTGATATAATTGTAAAAATTTTTTCTACTAACCCCTAATGTTTAATTTGATCGTTAATAGTATTGTATATATTAATTGCTGTATGTGGATATTTCAAGTAGGTTAATGTAAGAAGAGCTTCATGTATTTTAAAATTTTCATCTATCCATAAACACGTGATTCCTAAAAAACCTTGCTGGCTTCATGCTGTCCATAAGTCCAACATCAAACATACAGTTTTACTAGTAGATTCTAGTTGTTGTTTTAATAAATTTGTTGAGTTGTTATAAGTAATGTGAATAAGTTGTTTGACGGTTTTTTCACATGATATTGTAAATATAGAATCCAGGTTATAAACGAATTCATAAAATGATTCTTTTGATACAAGGTTAAGTGGCAAATTTTCACGAATAAGAAGCTTTAATAAGGATCGAATAAGAAAATTATTATTTGCTTTTGAATGAGTTTTAACAATATTAACTTGACCATCCTAATAATAAAAATAAATAAATTAAAGACTGTAATAGTATATAATGACAAATAATATAATCCACAAAATGTTACCGTGATGCCATATACTGAAGAAAGATGGTGAATAAGGTTCGAAGTTGATCCACTTGTAATTTTGATTCTTTGTGCACATTGTATATTATCATCTTTTATAACTTGACATTCATCGTATTGGATTTCTTTGCCGTCTTTATTAGTTACTACAATCAAATCAAAGTATTACCAAACTCAGGATCGTTTTTTAGATTCACCACAAATTTCTGATCTTCATTTTTTAAAACCATCAACAACAGCCACCTCTACATTGGACTTTGGCTCTTCACAAACCGAAATATTGATGTGATTAGATTCATCCTCCTCATTATTAAAATCAAACTCTGTAGAAATATTAATATAAGAAGCAGTATCTTCATTCGATATTAAATCAAATTCCATATTTTAATTGCGGTAATATTAATGAAAAATTTAAAGATTTATTGTAGTAATAGTAATGAACAATTTAAAGATTTATTGTGATAATATTAATAAACAATTAAAGATTTATTGCGATAATATCAATTTGAGCAATTTAAAGATTTATTAAACAATATTTATGAAAATTGATATTTATAATAAATTACAAAATTTATCATTATCAAAACAAATAGTTAATTTTGATTTCACTGATACTCGATGATGACCGAATTAAAAACTCAATGAATAAAAGCTTATTTCAATGCTCGAAATTTTTGATCAATGATCGAAAAATTTTTCATCGATTTCACACTCTACTATCACAATCTAGATAAGTTTTTAACTATTCTAGTAAGTTTAAATCACAAATAAAGTAGTCTGAGTTTTTATTCTTGTATATAGTTTTTACTTTTTATATTTATGTATTTAAAGATTAGTAATCCATTATAGCTATTATACTAGAAATTAGAAACTGATATAAGTTCAGAACATAAAAATAACTCTATCAGTTTAATATATTTTTGGATGCTAAACAAATTTTATTAGTATATAAAGTTAGAATTAATTAATAAAATTTTAAAATTTTAAAATTATATAGAATTTTATTAATAAAATTTTACTTTTTTTTTTTTTTTTTAAGGTGAAGTTTTGCCTTTATCTTTTATTAATATTTTGTATTGAGAATCCACTAGGGTTCCTCTGGCCGAAGCTAATTTACAAAAATTTTTACAAGAATGAGACTCAGACTACCAGAAACTAAAATCCTAATTCATCTGCAACCTAAACCTACTAGAGTGGTTAAAACTCACCTAGATTTGTTAGTACCTAT